TTAAACTGTATAAAAAAAATTGAAATCAATTGTGAAAATCCATTCCTTATATAGGACGGTCTCTCCTGTTCAATAGACTTATTGGACTGGTCTGCTTGGACTGGTCCAATAAGTCCAGTTCAATAAGCCCAATTGCCAAAACTCCAAACCTCCATAATAATAATTGAAATAATACCTTCAAACTTTCTCTTTCATAATCTGTAAAAAACTATTATAATATGTTAATTTGAAAAAAGTATCTTTTATTCAAAATTGATGAATTTTTGTACAAAGAGTTTACTTTTTGCCTAAACCTTTTTTTTTATCTTTATAGTGAACAAAACATCAAGACCATTAGTTAACACATTACTTTGCTTATTCACTGAATTTGTTGAAAGAGTCCCTAGTTGAAATCATGTGAATCAATTTTAGAGATAAGCGTCAGGAAAGGAGTAATGGACATGTATAACTTTTACTTAGTATATTAATTTTCCATAAAAATTATATTCTTATTAAATAATAATATTTCTATTTGAAAAAAAAAACTATTTAAATTATATTAACTGTGATGTACACAAGAAAGAATTAGATAAGAAATATTTAGAGAGTAAATTAATGCAATGTAAGCAAGAAATGAAGAAAGGCAGGAATGCTGTCATATGCATCAGTAAATGCTGTATTTTAAAAAGAATAACATCTTAGCTAAGTATTTTCCTGAAATATCTTTATTGATTGTTAATATATTTATTTCATATCCACTGATTTGTGCAACATTTTAAGGTATGAAATTTTGGGAGACAAATTTATGAAGGTCACATTCAGTGTGTGAAATTGAATGCAGGTGCGTGTGTTACATTAAAGGTAGCCAATAATCTATTAGCAGATTTGTGCAGAAATTCATTAATTAATATTTAATTTATTATTATTAACAAACAAACATACTTTTATTGATGTTTTCAGGTATAATTCTATTTTTATTGATACAAAACATAGGGTGCCTTCAAAAATTATATACTGAGATTGAGATTGAATATTTGATTGGATTGAGATTGGATTGAAATTGAAATTTTCAATCCGTGATCAAAAATTATTTTATCAAAATTATTAATAAAAAATATTAAAAATGGATTTTTTATGTTTCTTTTCTCTTTATTAATTGTTTGCATCAAAGAAAAGAAATGACCTTGAACTTACAAATACCAATGCTAATGCTTTTAGTATTGATGTCTTTGTTAAAAGAAAAAATTGGGAGTACCCAAAAAAAAAATAAAAATTATTTATTTATTTTATTGTTTGTTTATTTATTTTGTTTGTTTATTTTTCAATCTTACTGATTGAAATTTCATATTAAAATTCGATCTCGATCTCAATCTCAGATAGAAATCAATCTCGATATGGAAATTTTTGAATGCAGATCGAAATCAATCTCGATCTCAATCTCAATCTAATAATTTTTGAAGGCATGGAATCAACATGCGAGTTGTCAACTGGTCCACTTTCAGGAACAAGACAGACGAAGATAAAATAACAGTATTACATGCAATGTAATCGGGACAGAGAAGTTAATTTCCTTGTTTATTTATAAATATCAAAATCCATGTGCTTTAAAAAGAATGATAAGACTTTGATGCATGCAAACACCAATATAGAACGATTATCTTAAAGAATTAGATAAAAGTGTTATCGCAAATAGGAGTAATATTACTTGTTGACAATGCACCAACACATAATCTAATTGAAGATTTACCAAATGTAACTGCACACCTGCAACCATGTGGTGCAGGAATAATCCATAGCTTCAAGGTTTGTTAATTTGTTTAAAACTAATTGATTATATTATACTAATATTTGTTTGCATACTTAAAAAAAAATGACAAACCTTAACTCTGCTTCGAATTTTGCATTATGGCTTTTTATCCTTACCCAACTTATTAACATTTGCTACCTGAATATATTTATTTTATACTATTAAAAGATTCCTTTTGACTAATTAATTAATATGATACTTGCCAATTTAACACATGCCATTACTAATAGTGGTATTATAGTAGTGGTAGTGTGGATATAAAAGTCATTGTAATTAATTTAATAAACTTGCACTATCATCATTTAATAAAATTATTCTTTATCCAAACTTAACACGGCTTTGCTATCTCATGTATCTCATGTTAACATACAACAAAACTTAATGATTGCCCATATCTAAATGCAGTATAGAAAGAAATTTCTCAATTTATAACAAGATTTTAGATAAAACTACTACTACTACAGGACGGTGATTTTCTGCATAGTGCAGAATGCCGCAGAAATCGGAATATGTAATGAAATAATCATAATGACAATAATTATAATGAATAAATAGCAATTTAAAAATTTGATGATAATTGGCATATGTGCCAATAAATAAATAAATACTGTACAGTCTATATAACAGTTTAAATTAAATTAATTACTATCATCACCACGATTGATTTTAGTTGGAATTAATGGAATCCAATCATTGTGTGAATTGACTTCTTATTAAAACACATATTTTAATAAAAATTGAATTAAATAAAAATTAATCTTAATCAAGATGTTTATTTATCACCTACCCGGTTTTGATTGTTCCGATGAATCAAACGGAATATCGATTAATTGATCATTATTATTGGTTTTATCATCGTCAAGTTCATAATCAATCTCAAAAAATGGGTTTATTTTTTTTTTTGGCTTGTTAAATTCTGGAAAAAATTAGAAGAAATATTAATAAAATCAAAATAGTTAAAGAATTATAATAATTAAAGAATATTACCTTGAATTGTTGATTTTGTAGATGGTAAAGATACAAGTGGTTGTTCAGAAAAGTCTGTCATCATTGGGTTTACCAATGTGTCATAAAATGGATTATTTGAATACTTCCGAAAATCGTGATTAATTGTACTTTTATCAATTTTAACTGGTGATAAAGCTGTTGTGTGTGTTCCAACTAAATAAAAGTCAGTGATAAAAATTGTTAATATAAAATAAATTCAAAAGACTTTCTAATTATTTTTTGATTTACCGATTGGGACAGTCCACCACTGATGATGTTCTGAACTTGGCGGGGGCACTAAAAAAGAAAAAAAAGATTAATAGAAATTATTTATTTATTAATAAATCCATATTATAAATTTATATACAAACAATTTTCAGCTGATTTTTCTTTGGCACCTTCGTCTTCAAAATCAATCAATATACCAACAGGTGCATTTTGATTCTCGGTTTCTCTTGACTTTGCTAATTTTGCTATGATTTCATCATCAGTAGTTAATGGTGTGTCATTAACTTTTCTTATCGATTTTGCCAATTTATCCCAATGTTGTTTTCCATTTTGTTCTATTTCAGTGACATTTGAATAATAAGAAAATTTATTATTGTCTTGAGACACAATTTGTAGCTTTTCTAAATATATTTCTCTATGAACTTTTTCTTTGGCTGCTCTGTCATATTTAATTATCTATAATAATAATTATAGCTATGGAATTTAATTAAGCAATACAATCAAAAAATCAATCAATAAACCACAATTACCTCAATATCAAAAAATGCCATAACTAAATCAAAGTTTAATAAGAAAGTATTAGCTAATTATTAACAAAAAGACTTTTTAAAATTTTTTTTTAATTACCCGGTCTATGATCTGAAGCCTTTATTTCAGCTCTACAATAACCAAACTGTTTTATCTGGGATATTTATTTATACAGTTCAGTAAATAATAAATCTAACTAAAATTGTTCCAATAATAAAATTATAAATTATAAATATTATTACTCTATTTCCTCGATATAATATACGATCTTGTTATTTAAATAAATAAATAAATAAATATATAAATATAAATATATGGATTAATTAATAATAATTTCAAATAATCCCAAAAATAACCTTTTGAACCTACCTGTCCATGCTGGAACCCTTGCTTTTTCACTGTCAAGAATATTTAAATCAATCTTAATTCCATGGACATACAAAATGACATACAAATAGACATATCTATATTCTTAAAATTACCTTGTATCATACATATCTGTTCCAATATCATATTTATATGTTGGGAAAAATGTAATAGGATTTTCAATATAATCAGTAAAAGCTTGCCCCCGTTCAATTTGTTTGGTCAACTTTAAATAAGTGAATATTTTACTAAATTCAGAATAATCGAGAAGATTACAATACAATAATGATAATAAACATAATTACCTGTTCAGCATTTAATAATGCATCAAGATTTTCATCTTCTAGGAAAGCTCGAACCTTAATGATAATAATTATTACTATTATTGTTACTGTTATTAGAAAATAAAAAGTCTATCAAAAAATGTAGAAATATATTTCACCTGTTCATTTGTTAAAGATATCCGATAATTAAAATCACCCAACCAAACCACATATCTGGTTATAAAATTACATAAGTAAATTAACCATTAATTTAACAATAATTTAATATACTTACTCAAAATGTTCAAGTCGTCGACCATTTCTAAAAGTTAAACCATCATGAATAGCTTGATATTCTTTATTTCTTTCTTCATAATTAGTATGACCTAAAAGATAAATCAATAATAAATAATAAATATATTTTCTAAAATATTTCAAATAAAAAATCAAAAAAACTTCAACTACCAGATGCAAAATGCGCTGTTACAAAACAAAGGCTTGTATCAAAATAATTAAAGCTAATGGCCACAGCGCCCTTGTTTCCTGCCATCCCGCCCAATCCAGTCTAATCAATAAAATTTTTAATAAGAATCTAACAAATAATAATAATAATTTTAGAACGAATAATAAATCACCTTTTTCATGACACATTCAACATTCCTTATATTGGAAACCACATCAGCTCTTGCATAAATAACTAATGCAGTACCAACCAATTGATCTGAACGCAAAATCACATAATTGGAATGATTTCCGTGACGACCATTGAGTGTTCTACTTATTTCACGCTCCCAGATACGGCTAAGGTGGATCATAAAAGAATAAATAATTATGCATGTATGAAATTACTAAACATTACTTTACTTACAATTTTTCTGGATCTGTAGAAACGATCTTGAAATGCAAAAAAAAAAACCCTCAAGTATGAATAAATAAAAATAAAAATTTAATATTATAATAAAATAAAACGTAAAATTTTACCTGTTGAGGTTTTAACTCTACGATTTCTTGAAACCCAATTACATACAGATGTGGATCTTGCTCATCTAGAATAATTATATTTTTAAAAATAATGATTTAAATAACAATATTTTTTTAAAGCCGAAACTTTCGCTCACTTACAATCATCAAAAGCAAAGAGCCAGGGTGTAAGAGATTCACCCAAAGGTGAAACACCATTAAGATTATATGTTCCAACAAAAACATTTATTGTTGTTTTTGTTGAAAAATCATTTAACCTTAAGAAAAAAATTATAACTTTTAATTAAAAAATAATATAATTTTTTAAAGAAACAATAATATATACAATTTTTTTAAACCTTTTTTGAATGTCTTCAAGAACCAATTCGTTTACAGGATCATAAATCATAATTTGATTTTGATTTAATTGTTTGCCCTATTAAATTAAATTATAAAATTTTCGTTACAAACAATCTAATATATAAAGTAATGCAAAATACAAAAGATTTTTGAACTCTGATATAATTACATAAAAATTTTTTAAAAATAAAAAAGTAAATAACAATAAAATAATAATAAGTTGATATTTAATAATTACGAGTAATAAATCTATGGCTTCTTGTTTAAATTTATCCTGAAAATTATTTATATAAAAGCGATTGACCGTTTTCGTAGCGTCTCCAATAACGCCTAAATAATTACATGCATGTTCTTAATAATATTTCCTTTTACGCGAATAAAACATCTCCTTCATACTAACCCGACCAAGTGAGTTTCCCGCTACGTGTATATTCAGATTTCAATGCACCCGTGCCAGCATAAATCTTTGACAGACTATCGCCATTTTCTGCCCATAAATGTGAATGTCTAGAATTCAACGATTCTAGGCTATGAGTGACACATTCTATCTCATGGAGATACGTGCTTAATACAGTTTTTGATATAACTGTTTGTACAATATTTGTTCTATAAAACCCCAAATTATTAAATTAAATTAAAAATTCTCGGAATTCGATAAAGAATATATAACCAATATGTTAGAATTACCTATCCAAACTTGAAATTTTATTGAATGATGAAAAATAAAAATCAATATTTATATTAACAAAAAATCAATATTTATATTAAAAAATGACTTTAATTATTGACTTTACCAATCCACACAGTTAGTTCGAAAAACACCTTTTTGATAAAATATTGGTGAGCTTGTTTCTATATCCAACAAAAAAAAACCAGTCGATTCCAAATTTTTTCCAATATCTCGAATTAGTATTGACAAATTCTCATAATTTGAATTCCCACAAATGGCATGAAAGTCAAAAGAAAAAAATTGATAAATGTATCCGTGTTTATTTAAATCATTTGTTCGATCCTGATATTCATTACATAATAGAAATTCGCCATCTTTGAGTTGACTAAGTAGGTTAAGTATATAAACTTCACCATATCTACTTTGCAACTCATTAAAATGTCGTTCAACTGCTGGTAACGTTGCTGCTGGTCCACGTGATATTTGGATCTTATGACTCATGACTTGAATTCCCTATTAAATACCATGGAAATATTCAATAAAGAATTGTATATAAGAATTACTATAAATTAAAACTTACTTGTTGCTCCCAAAATACTTAAAATTAAAAAAGTTAGATAAATTGAATTACAAATTATATAAATTATAATTAAAAGTCACCAAAAAAAAAAGTGGGAGATTTCAATCCTTACATGGAACACTGCCACGAATTTGTGTGTAAGAGAAGCAACGATGTGGTAATTGTAAAATTGTTTCCGTCTATTAATTTAAACAGATGCATATTTTTTAAATCTGTAATAAACAAATATTTTAATATTAATTGAAGATTATTTTAAAAAAAATACCTCTACGAAATTCGCAACATTTCCATCATCATCAATTCCACGAGTGTTATATCTAGTTCCTAATACATATAAATAGCCATGAAATAATTAAATTATGATTTTTCAATATAGATGATGGTATATATTTATTAATTTAAAAGTATAGAAAACCTACCAGCTCTCTTACAGCTTAATTTGGAAATAACAGACAAAGAAGCATTGCTTGTACCAACAGTCACATCTTGTCTACCAATATATCCATGAATTGCAAGAACCTAATATTTTATCATTTATTTGATTAATATTTATATTTAATCTTTTAGGTTCTAGATGAAATAAAAGTTAAATACCAAAAATCCGCTATTATCCATCGCAATTTGTTCAGGATCACTAAGTTTAGAGCGATAATTTAACAATTCTTTTATCATAAATTTATTCCATAGAAAATGGCTATCATACGAGTATTTATCAGCTTTAGACATACTTGCTCTAATTATACAACATCATTTGTCAGAAACAAATAAATAGATAAAATATATTACTTGGTATCAATTAATTTAATATCTATACACACACACCTCACTGTCAAAGTCCTCGTCAAATCAAAATTCGATGAAAAATAAAAATGGCCATTCGAAAGTAATTTTCTTAATTGATTGCATGGATGAACAGAAACAGAAGATGAATTATCTTCATCATGTAATCGACTTGAATTACTATATGTTGTCGAAGAATAGTCCCATGAATTATTTGTTAAGGAATAAAACTCTACATCTATAATACGATGAACAGATTCGCCTGGCCGTATTCGGCCAATATGTTTGCAGTCTGTCACAACTCCTAAAAATATATCTAAAAGTACTTTTATAGATTCTGTTTTCTTTTTTTCTTTTTAAATCATTTGCTAGCAAAGTAATGCAAAAAAAAAAGTTACCTTTTTCAACTTCTATCAGGCCAAGACAGCCATACATAGGCTTTGTGTTAAAAAGTCGATACTGATGTAAATCAAATTCTAAATTAGATATTAATTGAACTTTGCATTTTGGTACGTTGACATTATAATTTCCTGGTATCGGCTCAAATAATAATGCAATGTTATCTGAAGAAAGATAATTTTCTGAAGTTTTGGATTGTATAAAAACTAGAGATCTAGGATTTTCTCGAATCAAAATTTTACTTTGCATTATTTTGTTTATTTGAATTGATTCGAGATTGTCACAGAATTTTAAGGAAATGTGATATATAATTAATTACCCAATGTGACATCTTCGATAATTTTAAAAAATAGCCAATTGATAAAATAATTTCAAGTTTGATCTTGTGAAGCTGATGAAAAGTTAACTTTTGGACCAGCAAGGATGTTAAAGTGGAAATTTTTTTTTATTATAGCATACTACTTATAATAAGCAGTCTCAAGGTCCTATTTTTTTAAAAAAACTCACCCTTCCTTGCAATTTCTACCATAATAGGGTACCCACATTTGATTCTATAGGTTAAAGGAAGATATCTTTTGAGAGGCATCTACGCACATATTAAGTCTCTTGATCTTTTGTCTTAAGATTATGAGAAACAATTAACTATTCAACAAAGAGCCAATATTCCAATTATAGAAACTCAAGAGAATTAGCAACTTAAATTCAAGGTGGAATATTGGCACTTGGCGATTATATGAATATACAATGTTGTGACTATGTTTATGGAACTAGCTTTGGAGAAGATATTCGTAACTTAATTATGGTTAATATGTTGTATCATGAAATTTCTTAAAGCATCAATTATTTATTCACTTATTTTAATAAAATAATTTGTGAAAATCTATATCCATCGTCACAATCACATCAAAATGCTCGTATTGGATTTAAAGGTAAAATATATGATGAGTATCGTTATCTTACATCAGGCACCCATAGTGATAATATCCATCGGATATTTGACGATATCCGAATATTCGATCTGTTTGCCAGTTTTGATGTCCAGATATCAATATAACGAATTTAATAGTTAGATCTCGGTATAATACTATGTGATAAACAAATGTCCATTATGCTCGTTTATATTCCATTGAGTTATTATTATATTTCTATCCCCAATTTTTTGGCTCCGTTATATCTCCATTGTAACCTTATTTGTAAATGATATACAAGTGTAACCTAATGTTTACAATAAATTTTTTTGGATCATTTTGATTTCTTTTATTTTTTTTTTTTGGTGGTGGCTTGGCTGATTCTTTAACAACAAAGAAATTAATCATCAATTATTCTTTTTTCTTTAGTGGTGAGTTGGTTGATTCCTTTAACAACAAAGAAATTGATTCTTTTTTCTTTGGAAACTTGGTTGATTCCATTAACAAACAACAAAGAAATTAATCTCTTTTTTTTGGTAGTGAGTGGTTGATTCCTTTAACAACAAAGACATGGCTGATTTCTTTTAACAATAAAAAAAAATATCTTTTTTTTTCATGGTTGTGGCAAAGTATCTTTTTTACATGTATAAAAGAACTTGGTTTTGACTTAGGCATAATATGTACACATTCTTTTATCCTAAGAATTGAATAATAAAATAAAATCTCAATAAAGTTTATAAATTCATAAAACTGGAATCTTTTATTTCTATATAGGGAGTAGGAAAGCATTTTAAACTGCAAAAAGATTCTTAGAACAACAAGAATTTGTTACAAAAAAAGATGTTAAGTATGTCAGTGAATTAATAAAATGTTTAAATAGTTCTGTAGATAAAGCAAACATCAGCAGAATTTATTGATATTAATATTGAATAAAAATTTTATTTTAAATTAAAAGTCATGTGAAATGATCAACTGCTTGAGATATATCCCATCTCAGTTATATTCCACAAAAGTACCAATACAAAGGGGGATATAAAAGAAGTATCAAAAAAAATTTTATTATTATGTAAGGTAGTTACTTAAAAAAAACAAAGAGAAACTAACGCACCATGTTCTTTAAATTTTGGGGGGAGGATAAACAAACAAATTTGAACGGCCTTAGTAGTTGTGTGATGCTAATAAATAAAAATTGATTAATTTTATTTATTTTTGTATATATAAATAATATATAGATATATAATCTCTAATATATATATGTGGTTTCTATATTGTTATTATAATAATTATTAATATATATTATTATTAGTATTATTAAATTATTATTATACTATATAATTACTATGATTATATAAAGATTAATTAATATAATTATAAATGAATAATAATTATTATGATAAAAATGTTTAGAACAGGTTTTTAATTAATACTTTTACAATAATAAAAAAATTAAAATTAAAGCTTTGGATTTATATGTATGTGTAATATTAAGAGATATATATTAAAGGTGAAAAAGTAACAATCAAGATTAGAATCAAATTTTGAAAACAAAGAAAGTGTTCATATATAATAAGCCATCAAACATTAATAAACCATAATATATTATATATGATATTAGATGTCCATATTATTTTTCTTTGGCTGACTTGATGAAACACCACCACTTTTACGGTTTCTGGAATAATATTTCGTTCTTCTTTGATTATTGTTATTATTATTACTATTATTATTGTTATTATTAGAAGTTGGTGAACTGGGTGTAGTGGGTGTAGTAGGTGATGAAGGAGCTGTTGTGTTTGTTGCAGCAGTTGTAGTAACTGTAGATGACGACAATGTTGTCAATGATAATGACGATGTGGATGATGATAATGATGTAGGTGATGATGGCGTAGAAGGTCTACTAGATGTAGACGTAGTAGTAGTAGATGCAGATGATGATGTTGAAGGAGTTGTAGATGCAGTAGTAGTAGTAGTAGTAGTAGTAGATGACTTGGATGCAGTGGATTTTAATGGTAGTTGTTGTACTCTTCTTTTTCCACTTGATAATATTAACATATATATATTATTTTTTGATGCATACATATAAATAATTTAATTTATATATTACAAAAAAAATACACTCGATTAACTTTTTTTTTTTTTTTTTAAATTAATTTTCAAATATTTTTTTTTAGTATTTTATATATATTCACATATTATTATATTTATATTTTTTTTACTTGGTTGATTGAACATTATTTGAAGGTTGTTGTTGAAGAAGTGACTGTTGTTGCTGAACAACAATTGTTGAAGAAGATTTTCTTAATTCATTAAAGAAATCTTTTCCATTAGCCATCAAATGCGCTGTGGTTTTATTATGTTGTTAGTATATATATTTATTAGTATTTGCTATATGTAGATATAATAATAATGATTTGTTGAAAAAAAAAAAACCTCGTTGTCCCCATACAGGTCCACTTTTACTACCCCATGCATTTTCTGTGGATTTATATAGTTCAGGTTTTTCTAATAAAATTATAAAAAATAAAAAAAAAAGGTGAATATGAATAATTGTTGCTAAAAACATCAGGATCTTGCTAATTATTTGTATTTGTTATTATTACTATGATTATTATTTTACCTCTCTGAAAAATATTCTTACCAGAGTCTGGAATAGTATTATCACGTAATTTTCCCATTGCTTCAATCCAACCTATCATCACCATCGTCATTTTATGTGTTAATTAAACACTGTATCGCCACCATAAATAAAATTCTTTTCCCAAAAGAATAAAAAAATTCGATACATACTATTATTTAAAAAATCCGAAACTTCTTGAGCATTGAAATTATTAACGGGAACATGTTCATGCACAGATCTCAAATGGTGATTATGTGGGTGTGGGTGGTGAGGAAGAGGCGGATGATGATTAAGATGATGAGGATGTGGGTGATGATGTAATGTAGAAGATGCTGATCCTATAGCAGATGAATATGATAACGCTGATGATGTAGTTCCCATCATGATGTTATTGTTGTTATTAATGATGTTGTTGTTGGGGTTGTTTGTAGAAGATACAATAGGTGCAGAGAAATGTCGATCAATTTATTATAAAAATCTACAAATGTCCGTTACACACAGGGCCCTGTTGTTTTGAATAAGCTTGATCAACAAATAAATATACAAAAATAGATTTTTAATTATGCTCAGTTACACGGTGATAGAAATGCTGGTATTTTTTTATTTTGAATTTGTAACATTTTTCAACATTAATGGCAGAAAACAGTAAGTTTTTGCTAAATGATGCCCTCCATTACAAACTTATAAAATCCATCCCATATGTTGAACTAGAAGATCTGACTAAGGTTGATTGTGGCAAGTTTGGAAGTATCTCCGTTGCATATTGGCCCAAAATAAGAAAGAAAGTTGCTGTGAAGAGGCTACTTGCTTTTGGGGAGGACGACTCAGCCAATAAAAAGTTTGTTCATGAGGTATATCAGGAAAACTACTGCTTATATGCACAGGTCATCATAGTTTTTTTATCGTTTTTTGACTTCTAAAATCCAACCCATTTTCAATATTTATCATGAGTAATAGCTACAAATTCAAAAGCGAGTGGAATACCACGACAACATAATTCGAATCTTGGGTATTAGTCAAGGTAATTTATTGTTTCATCTATAAGATAGGATCAAAGTGTTTTGAATATTTTATCAAAACTTCACATTTTGATAGCATTATTTGCCAGATTCTCATTGTATGCAAAAGTTTTTTCGTTATAATAAATAGCTCACGAGCTCCACTTCTCACATATCATTGTTCATTAGATCCATGTAATAAAGATCGTCTACTAGTCCTTCAATATGCTAAAGATGGAAATTTAAGGGATTACCTTGCGCGTAAACATTCAACACTCACATGGAATGATAAATTCAAAATTGCTTTTGGAATTGCTGACGGTCTTAATTGTCTTCATGATGAAAATATTGTTCATTGTGATTTTGTAATACCTTTTAATATTTAGATGCACAATTCAATGTTATACCTTGTCTAATTTAAATTTATTGTTCTGTTTGCAGCATTCAAGAAATATTTTAATCGACAATGGTGAACCAAAAATTGCAGATTTTGGGATTTCTAAAAGCCTTGATACCATGTCAAGTTTGATTAACGGTGTTTTTGGAATGATTCCATACATCGAACCTAAACGTCTTGAAAATCCAAACTATAAACATGACAAAGCATCTGATGTATATAGTTTTGGGGTAGTGCTATGGGAAATATCAAGTGGTAGACCTCCTTTTGAAATATATCCATGTGATGTTGCATTGGCGATATCTATAAGTCTTGGTTCACGAGAGACACCAATTATTGGAACACCACAAGAATATGTTTTGCTTTATCAAGAATGTTGGAACAAGACTCCACACCTCCGATCAAACATCCTCACTGTTTTACAATCTCTTGAAAGGATAACTAAAAGTTACACGGAGAGAATAAAAGGTTAGTCAGCTATGTCATTATCTGTCAAAAATTATAATTCATGAAATCACATTGTTATCTTTTTGCGGAAAAGCTACTTCGCCCATTTTAGACACCATGTCGCCCACATCTGACCAACAAATGACTCAAAAAAATATCGACATTAATGCAGATTTAGGTATTTGTTGCTACATGGAATATTTTTATTTCTTGATGACCCATTGAATATGAATGAATATATATATGACTATTAATATTGATAATCTACATTAATTCTCAGATGCATATAATTCCTTACAATATAACCTTGTGATTCCTGATGATATTGGGTCTTCTGAATATGTCAAAGATCTGACTTTCATAGATACCCCCAAATCTACTATGAACATTTATTTATCCCAACCTTCTCGAACATCGAAGATAGTCATGCAGCCAACATTTTTCGAAAGAAACATAGAACCCTCAATTGAAGCGACACATACTTCTATTCCAGAAACAGATACTTCAACAACATCTGGATCTTCACATAATCAAGCTATCATATCATCTAAGAAAAATGACCAAAATTCGCAAAATCACAATTTCACAAAAGTTTCCAGATCGTCAAATCTGCTACCATTTCTCAACAAGGATGAAATCAAATTAAAAATTGTAGTTATAGGTAGTGGTGCAGTTGGTAAATCAAGTCTTTTGGAGGCATTTGTATTTGGAAAATGTCGACCTGTTTACATTCCTACAGTCTTTGAGAATTTTTGTGTAAATGTTAAAATTGATGGACAATATGCGTCGTTGTCATTATGGGATACAGCTGGTCAAGAGGATTTCGATGGACTAAGGCCGCTTTCGTATTCGAATGCTCATACATTTTTGATTCTATTTTCTGTTGATATTCCTTCTAGTTTAGAAGAAGTAATAGATAAGTGGGTGGCGGAAGTGTATTGTTACTCCAAATCTGTACCAATCATTTTAGTCGGCACCAAGATAGATAGAAGAAATGATGAAAGTACAATTGAATACCTACAAAGATCCTACCGAGAACCGACAACTTATGAAGAAGGATCTAAAGTTGCAAAACTGATAAATGCGGTTAAATATTTGGAGTGTTCAGCGTTGAATTGTGAAGGTGTGAGTGAGGTGTTTGAGCATGCTGTCCGTACCGCGCTTGCATTTTCTCTCATCAGGAAGAATCGTAAAAAATGTATTGTTTCATAATAATAATAAGTACTATTGCATCACTTGAAATTTCTTGGATAAGATAAAAAGTTGTTTGTTTATCTGTCCTTACTAAGAATATGTATTATATTTAATCTCTAAAAATATGTATAATATAATGTTTTATACATACATTTAATTTTTTTTTTTTCATTGTACAGTTTCTTATTAATACAAGTATGTTATAATATATATTAATAAATAATGTTCTCTGTCAACTAGAAAGAAAACTTGCTTAATTGATAAATTAAAAAAAAAATCATATCAAAGAATTGTCACCATTGCTCAAAAAAACCTGTATATTAATTCCAATGTTATCAGAGCGAAATTAAATCGGAGAATTTTTATCCTGGTTGATGCTTTGTCATAATATCTCTAGAATTACAAAACAAGTTCATAAGCAGATGTTGATCATTCCTTATTTATGTCTAAATATGGTGGGAAAAGTTTAAAATATTTCAAAATGAATAAAAGATAAACATAATTTGTATGGGAAACAGTATTGTATGTGGATGATAATTGGCAATATCATTTTTGATGACAGCCTCAACTAATTATACAACAACCTATGTTTCAACAATCTCAGAAGGCTGTTCAACAAACAGTATTCCAACCGCCTCAACAAATCATCCAACAACCTATGCTTCAACAACAGCCAGTACCTCAACCATTTCAACGAAATTTCGTCTCAAAACTGAAAAAGCTAAATATTAATATTATGAAGATTTAAAAATTACACTGAAAATGGGTCTTGAGGCTGAAGAAAACAGAGTATTAGAACCGATGGACATTAATTACACAATTATCAATCTTGCAAATAAATTAGATCAATATGAAGAATTGCCTAGCCCCAAACTCATCAATAAATATAGTCAGAAACTCTAGAGTAAATAATGGACTTCTCCTGCGAAAATGTAAGATTTACAAAAACCAGATCATACTTACTGTAGCTGTCCTATAATTAAAAATATGATGGCTAATATTAATAATGGAAAAGAACTGGTCATGTAATAGTGATACGTATTTTTTTTATTTTATAAAATAAAGCAAGGTCCTATGGAACCATTAGTCTCGGTTAGAATTATGTGGATGTCCATGCTTTATCATCAAAAATGTTTGAAAATAGAACGATTTTTTGCAACGAATATTTTAAAGATTTTGTATTTCAATCAAAATTTGGAGGTTATTAATACAGTAATAGAATAAAGAAAAATCTTGTGTGAATTCATTTATGCTTCCGAAATTCGCAAAAAAACATACTTGAAAAATTATTTTCAAATTTCAAAAAAAATATTTTTATACACGTGTGCAGAGCATAGATAAAAATCCGATCATTGGTCAAGTGAAATTAACCAATGAAATCATGCACGCAATATTTCAATTTTTGAAATACAGTGCAGGACATCTATAATGGTCAATAGTCCGAAACTTAAAATTTTAGAAGATCTTTCTAATTTAAGTAATC